CAAAAATGAAATGCACCAGCACCAACAAACACAGAGTGCTCACAACCATTTATAAAACATCATCCAACTAGTAGACAAACAAACAAACAAACAAACAAACAAACAAACAAACAAACAAACACAGAGGCTCGTCTTCAGTGTTAGATACAAAACGGTAACAACCTGACAGGTGATGCTGCTCAAAACCACTTTCATCACATCTGTGAGTTTTTTCATTCATTAAGATCGATGTGATGTGCTTACAATGCAGTTAAACAAACAAACAAACAAAAACAACCCAAATAAACAGTCAAAAGTTTGAAAAAGAGCAGAAACATATCAACGTGAAGAATTCATGTCATGAAGAGATTCACACCATCATTAACAAGCTGGACGTCAGTCACCTGCAGAAAGCTGAATAAAGACTAAAGAAAACTGAACCTGATGTCGGCCAATGCTACAAACCTCAATGCTGTCACTGTGGTGTACCCATGATTTGTCCAAGAGATCATTTTATTCTATATTTGTGGATAGAAAGCAGTATGATTACGACAGCTTACTGCATGACAGCATTGATAAACTCGGCTTTAGCTGATGAAGCAGAAACACAGATGAAGCTCATGTTTCTATTTTTCTGACAGTATTTGAGATCTGTGTTATTCTAGATGGAGCTTGTTTGTCAGACTTCACACAGTTTCATCTGAGGAGAGAGAGTATCCTCGCTCCTTCACCAGTTTCAGACTGACATATAAAATCTGTGACATATACGTTATTATTATTATTATTATTATTATTATTAGTAGTAGTATGGTAAATAAAGAAAGGTAAAACACTTGATTTGTCTTTTTCTAAAAGAATAGAAAAAAACTTGCTCGTCAAAATGATCTCATTGTTTAATATGATCCTCTTTATGTGGAAACCACCACATAATGAGTGGATTCATTAGAATATAATATTTCCTATGTTAGATATATTATCTTGTTTGCTGTATTAGATTTTGTCTGCACTCAGTGTCTGATCTATGAGCAGCAGCAGAAACACCTGCAGCTAACAGAAGCTCACATTCAGCTTCGTGTTCTCCTCCTTTTCCCTCTCTTGTTGAAGCCTGTGCTGCGTAGTTCATACTGACTGACACAAAACAAAGAAAGTCTGGTTTTCTCCGCCTCTTTGAAGTTTGAGAGAAGCTGACTAAAGACAAAGAGACTTTCTCACCTAAGAAAGTGGCGTTCAAATAAAACAACTGATTTCTCCAAAACAAACAAAGCTGGTTCTGGTTTTCTGAAATGTGAGCCTCCAAGAGAATCAGAACTCAGTACAAACAAAAGCTTTTGTTGGAGAGCTTCTGAAACTCTTAAACCTTCATGTGAGCTATTGATGTACTGGTTTATTTGTTCATATAAATATTCACATTTATAACGATCTTCAATAATATGTATGGTGTCATACAGTGTATTTCAAAGACAGTGTGTGAATGTTGTATCAGTCTACTGTAATAATCTAGTCGGGTCATACAGTGGTCTATGTCACAAGAGTCAGTTGGTGAGTGAATGTTGTATCAGGTCGACTTGTTAATTAAATCTCAAGTACTGGCGTGCAGAAATCATGCAGTGCAGGAATACCTCCGCCACTGCCTCGTTTGAGTTTTGGACGAAATGCATTCTGGGATATTGCATTTCGTCATTTCGAGCTGATTGGAGATCAAAACAGCCAATCAGATTTTTTTTTGTGTGTGTGGATAATAGCAAAGACGGAAATACATTTCTTGCACGTAGCAATGAATTTTGTTCATTCAAATTGAGCTTTTCTTTACTCAAAATAAATTTCTCCTCAAAATACAACACTTGCACCTGCAATTTTTTTTTTACGTGCGCTCAGAATAGTGGCACAAAAATAACGCCACAGAGGGGGAGCTCAGTGTGAGAGATTTATTTCTTTAAACTCATTTATAATTTTATTGTAATTTAACAGCAAGGACACAGCTGTCAAATATTGTGAATGGGTCATAAATGTGCCCTCATTAGCACTTTCCCAGTTGATCTTTGACCCACTTGTTTCTATTTTTTAATAAATTTGACACATTTATTTGGATTATTTGTCATAATTTGTCTTATAGAGTTAGGAAACAATGTATAAATCAAAACTGATGTTACCTTACTGTAAAATATTGATTCCAATGTTACTTTTTGAGTAAGTAAGGAACATTTATTTATATAGCACATTTCACAGATAAAAATCACAAAGTGCCTCACAATAAAACCAGAAATACCAACACACATAAAATAATATAAAACAGTGAAAAAATTTATCAAAAGCTCATGTGTATAAAAATGTATTTAGCTGCTTTTTTTGACCATCTTATCAGTTTAAATCTACTGTTGGCCTAATCAGAGGTTTAAAATATGCTGATGCAGGACACAAACGTCACAAAGAAGCATCGTCCTTCTGCAGTGCAGAGTAGCCTTCAAAAAGATGAGCACTGAAGAATATTTATAGTTAATGACTAATGAAGGCAAAAATGAAATGCACCAGCACCAACAAACACAGAGTGCTCACAACCATTTATAAAACATCATCCAACTAGTAGACAAACAAACAAACAAACAAACAAACAAACAAACAAACAAACA